GGCGTCCGTAACCGCCCGCGCCCGGTCGGGTCGGGGCAACATCCACACGGATCTCGGGGTAGGGATTTCCGGCCCTCAGCCTTTCCCACCCCACCTCCCATTCCAGCCGGGATCGGACAGGCGCGCCCGCGCCACCGGGTGGTCATCACGGAGGGCACCGCGCAGGAAAGAAAAGACCTCAAGAGAAGGAACCGAGTTCCCCTTGGGGCGGGGCGGGGGCGCGTTCCCCTGTCCGCTGTCCGGGTCCCCGGAGCGTCTGCCAAATCTTCTCTGGGGAGAGGGCGGGCGCCTGTCTGGGGGACAGAGAAACTTCACCACCCACTCCACGTTTTGGTGTTCACGGACATCTTTCTTTGGCCATTCCTCCTTAGGCTTCCCAGTTCCCACCCCCAGAGAAGAGGGGCGAGCAAACAAGCAGACGTTGGGTTCCAAGAGAAAAGCATCTGTGGGCTTCACCGTGTCGTCTCCGTTGCTCACAGAGGATCGTCACCCGCTGTAGGTTTAGGATCACACGTGCGGTCCTCACCGTGGTGGCGTCGTCGTCATCTCATCGAGGGGGGACAGCCACACGGAGTTCTACAATGGAGAGAGAAGAGGATTTCCGAGGTTTTCCTCTCAGGCCGGGGTCACCCCGCAGCCTCTTTCGATGAATGGGGGTGGTGGTGGGGGTTGCAGAGTGGCGAGCACGGGTCTTCGGCCGGGTGGGGCGGGAGGCAGAGGCATCGGTGGAGCGCAGTCTGCCCAGAACCGGTAGGACCTGCCTTTCGGTCGGTCGGTCGGTTGGTCGGTCGGTCGGTCGACCCACGGGTCCACACACAGGAACGCAGAAATAAATGAGTTCAGAAATCCATGGAATCATCCAAATCCCCACCCATAACCGAGACACATCATGTACGGGTGCAAGCACCCGATGACAAATGGAAATGTATCGTCTACCTAAAAATGTACCGATGAAAGAACTTCAGAAGAATGTTTCAAAAGAAGAAACACGGAATCCCCACCCACCGCAGACGGGCAGAGAAGCGGGCCCGCGTCAGTCACCCGAGGGCAACTGCGGGACAGACGAGGGGAAGAAGAACAACGGGGCCAATCGTTCCTCTTCCGCTACAGCCCACCAGCCGCAGCGTGTACCTCTATGTTTGCCCGTACCCTCTTTTTGCACAGGCGCTCGTCCTGAGCTCCGTCTGCAGAGCAAGTCCCCCACCCTCGACTGTCGCTTTCAACGGACAAAACCAACCAGAAAACAAAGCAGAACAAAACAAGAGACAGAAATCGAGAGGGGCAGTCGGCAGGTAGAAAACAGCAGAGCCGGGGCTGGGACACAAACCTAGGACTTACTGACCAGAGAGCCCATAAGGAGACCCGGCATCACCAGGTTTATCACTAGGTTTAGATTCTGCCTTAAAATTCCAACTTTGGGGCCCCGGCTTGGCTTGGTGACGCGGGTGGGTCATCCCAGCACTGGGGAGGCTGAGGCGGGAAGTTCCCCAGGACCTTCAGATCTTTCGTCATCCATCATCGTCACGCAAGAGCATGATCCAGACTAGGCCGCTAGTAGTCTGGGCGTGAACCTTACAGAGAGAACCTGTCTCAAAAACAATAAAAAAAGAAAGAAAGAAAGAAAGAAAGAAAGAAAGAAAGAAAGAAAGAAAGAAAGAGAGAGAGAGAGAGACAGAGAGAGAAAGAGAGAGAGACATAGGGAGAGAGAGAGACACAGAGAGAGAGAGAGAGAGAGAGAGAGAGGTTTTGTAGAATTTGTGAAGACATACACAACCGTGAGAAATGTGGACCACGGATAGAGAGGTTGAGAGAGGGATGGAGGGAGGGAGAGGAAAAAGAAGAGGGAGAAAAGAGCAGGGGTGGGGGATGGGGAATGCAGCCCCAGGGAATCAAGCCCCCACGTTCAACGTACAGTAAGGCTAAGGAGAGACGTACAGGAGTGCATGAGCGAGCGAACGAAGAAAGAAAGGAGTGAGTGCGTGCATCCATTTACAAATGGATGGGGGGGGGATAAAGGATCGGGGGTGTGATTCCACGTTCACTAGGTTAAACATCCAGTCGTCGGGGAGGGGTTGGGGGTATGGCCTGCAGTCAAGAGAAAGTAGAGAGGGGAGGGAGGGAGGGAGGGAAGAAGGAGGGAAAAAGGGACTATAGGCCAGGCTGGGTTCAGGAAAGTGTGATCGGGAGTTCTTCCCGAAGGTTGAGGGGGCCGGGCTGGGGAGGTTTAGTGCGATCTCTCTCTCCCTAAGCCAACGTGAAGTACGT